ATCTCTTAAGAGATTATTACAGAGTATATCCATCAGTGGAGGTCACGTGGTCTAAAGACAAGCTTGGGTATCAGAATAATAGCTATAACTGCCGTTTTTGTGGTACAACAGAATATATTATATTTCTATGAGTTGTTCACAATGTTTTTATTGTGAAATATAGATCTCATACAAAGAGTTTTTATCCCTTAAAATTTTTTCAGAGTTTTCTAAAGCCCGTATGTTTTTTATATGGTTTCTTTTTAGACTCTGAAGCAATGCTGTATTCCCAGCATACAAAGACTGAATTCCCACTGTGTATAATAGAAGTGAAGCCTTCCTGTCAGAACATTGTCAGTGGTTAACCTGTTTTTCTTTTGAAAAGGACTTTAAAGAAAAGCATTTTTAACAGTGGTAATGACGTATTTTCAGGAATATGTGGTTGTCTTGATAAGCAGAAAAAAACGAGGAATAGGGACAGTGTTGCAATAATAGCATGCAAAGAAACAGCATGTTAAACAGCAAGCTATCAGATTACGATCATATTATGGAAATTGGTTCTATGTGTTGTGTAGGCTACCAATATCCAATCAGCTTAGCACAGTGTTCTTAGTGGAGAATCACCTTGGGACTGACGCACAGATTATGAAATCCGCACCCAGAGGAGGGCTACGTGTCAGGTTCACACCAGTTCAACGTCTCTACGTGAACGTCGATAGGAAAAATGTAAGGTGTTTTTAAGGTTATGCTGTCTAATTACACTCGCCTGGAGATGCTTGTGTTGCAGCTGAAGTTAAGAAGGAATTTGTGCTGTTGCCTAATTATGCTTGAGATGTTTTTGTTATGGCTGTAGTATAAAAAAAACTATTTACCATTGCTTAATTATACTCAGAATGTTGTGATATTTCTTCAGCAGTGTAATTTCAAAAGATATTTGGATCAGATGAGATCTAATGCACTAGATGAAGTTGGTTTAGCAGGTCACCAAATTCCCTTGTGTATTTAGATGATACTAGTATTGTAATTAGATATGAATATTGTACAAAGATTCAGAGATAGGGCTTTTATCATTTTCTTACATGAGTCTTCTAGACTGGCTTTTTGAAGTAACCGTCTTTTTCAGTATCAGCTTTTTTTTTTTTTTTTTTTTTTTTTTTTTTTTTTTTTTTTTTTTTTTTTTTTTTTTTTTTTTTTGCTGAGTCTTAGAATTTGAGAGCGGGGTTTTATACCTCTCTCTTCTTAAGGTAGCTCATTAGTGCTACCACATCATCCAAACAAGACTAAAATCGATGATTTAGGCTTGAAACATTTTTTTCTTTTTTGCAAGAGAGGTATTGTAAATTCTTTTCATTGTATGGGTGACTCCTGCTAATACTTTGTTGGTTTTTGACTTTGCACATTGATATTTTGGTATTGATCATTTCATAAAACACCAAATAACTGTCATGTTCATAAACAGATAGATTTCTGGAGAAGTTTGATTTATTTATGTGCTTGTCTAAGTCTTCATTTCATTACCAATGAAATAATGTAGTGTTATGCTTCTCTTATAGGGGGCATGCCAGTCCCAGGGGACAGATACCCAAGAAGAGCCCAACCCACAAGACCTTGTAAGATTTACCATATCAGGTTTGTTTCATCTTTCTTTCATCCTTTTTTAAAGGTCATAATGCCACTAGTAAGGAAATGCTTAAAAATCATTTACTTTTCTTCCTGGTTTACTGTTTAACTCATCAAGTTAAAAAAATTTCCCCAATCTATTCCAATATTTTCACTAAATACTCCAGATTTACAAGCCAAGTACCTGAAGAAGGGAATGTTCTTCAACCCTGATCCCTATGTGAAGGTCACCCTGGCGCCAGGAGGTCACTTCAACTGCCGCCATCTTATCCACCATGGTCAACACAGCCGAACCACCATCATTCCTAATACTACTAACCCAGTGTGGAGGGACCAGGTAGGCGTGGTCAGAGATTGGAAATTTTACACTCCCTTCCACCCTCTCCCCTCCCCCTCTCCTTCCCCCCTCTCCTCAAGGAATATGATTTACGCCTCTGGGAAGTGGGTGAGCGCAGCCATCCAAATATGGTGGAAAAGTGGTCATTTAACATTTCTCACTAAATATTCTAGATATTTGAGAAACTTACAGGGAAGTAGACATGCACACACACATGCATGCACATGTGTGTGTGCACACACACACACACACACACACACACACACACACACACACACACACACACACACACACACACACACACACACACACACACCTTATCTTGTGTCAAACTGATCCAAAAATTTGGTATAAATGTTTAGACCAGTTTTTGGCTAAAGCCCCTTTGCGAAAGCTCCTCGTTATTTTTGTGTACCACCTTACTTAATTAGGTGTGTATAGTTGCTTCTCATATCAGATATCAGAGTCTATTCATTCACCATTAATATGTAGCATATTACATAATGTAGTTGTTTTTAGGCAGCACATACTATGCACATTTGTTATCGAATTACTTAACTTTGGGCCCTAAGCATGTTATGTTACATGATTCAGAAGCTATTTATGAGGCATATGTGGAAAACATGCACTAGCAGTGATTTAGGTATTAAGGCCTGATATATACAGGTCTAATGTGTTATATAAAAATACAGTCCATGGTATTAAATGCGACCTTTTCACATTAAAATTGGAACTGGTCATGCTGCGTCATATCAGTTGAAGTGACATTTTCTTATTAGTCTTTTTAATGCCATAGATATAGCTTGTTGACAGATGGAAGTGAATAGATGTAATTACAGTATTTAAGGTACTTTTGATAAACATTGTTGCATGGGGTTTCTCTAATTAAATGTTTTAACTCTAGTCAAGGCAAAAATACAAAATTAAGGCTTGTTTTTATTTAAGACAAGTCACCAGTTGAGTACATATTTAAAAAAAAAGCAACCCTAATCATCGATGTGAAACTTACATTAAAAAGTTGGTGATATTTAGAAAATACTTCCAATCATCTGAACATCTATCACATGTAATATTCTACAGCTAATGTAGTCCACATATCCCAATCTCATCATTAACCCTTCCATATATCAAGACTTCATCTCCTGTATACATGTTACATTACATAGTAGACATCAGACAGATGATGCAGCTAATGAGGGTTAACATGTGTTACATTATAGTGAATAATTATAGGTACTTGGATTTTTTTTTTTTTTTTTTTTTTTTTTTTTGCAGTTTCAGATATTTTCACACAAAGATTAACTAAGAAGCAGAAATAAGCTAATTGGACATCATTAAATCTCCAAATCAAGTTAGAATCCCTCCTCCCAGGTCTCTCATTTCACAAATCCCCTTTTTAGCCACAACGGTCTTGTTGAGATGCCAATTAGTTTAACCTCAGTCTAAGCTAGCCCCAATTAGAATGCTGTCCCTTATTAGGGAAACCATGTTGGTTTTGCTAAATACGGATAACAAGAGCACAGCTGGCAGAGAATGTATGAGAGAAAGTGTTGCACAGTGTTGTGATGAATACTGTTTATGATTGGAAGATCTTTACAGAAGGAAAAGGGATTTTATCTTTGGGGAGATTCAAGGATTTTGGTACTGTAAGAGATTTGAGGATATTTGTACTCTAGGAAATTTTAGGATTTGCGTCATATTGCAAATTCAAGGAATTTTGGTCTTTGCAGAAATTGAATGTATTGATTTAGTCTTTTTGGAAATATTCAAATATTTTGACATTTGAGGAAATTTTGGGATGGGTTTTGATTTGAAAGGAATTTTGATACATTTTTGATGTTAGTACAAAGAATTCCTAGGAATTCCTAAATTGTCACAGTTGTCTTGATCTTAGGTTGGACAGGATAATCATACATGTAACAGTGAGTTTGAAAATTGCTATAACTTTGTGTGTGTCAAGTTGTCAGGATGATGAAGAAGAAATGGTATCAGCAAGGTAATAGCAAGTAGAAAGCATTCATTCAAAGAGCCAACAAGTTGAAGGTTGTTTTAACTTGTTTTGTAAGCAGGATTAAGTAGGAAAAAAACAAACCAGTCACACAGAGGTGGGTTTGAAGTTTTTTTTATTCTTATGAAAATTATAATTTCTGTGCATTAATATATAATAAATTTATTGCAAATTACTGTAAAATTAAACCACTGGTCTGCAGGATTTTACTGTGCAGGATCAAATTTGAGGGACCTTAATATTTACTTACAAGTTTATTGATATTAGGTAAGGATATTTCACTGATGCAATTATTGAAAAATAATGCTATTATTACTACAATCTATGGTGGGAACACTGACCCCATGACTAGTATGTAATTTAAAATGAAGCTTGGTCTGAAAAAAATGTGTAAATTTACCCAGTAACTGGCCATTGTATCGGCTGTAGGCCTAAATGTTCTAAGAACTAAAAGACCAAGGGATTGATGATGGATACATTGAGATCCTCAAAGATATATACTAGTACTAGTACACTAATAGCTCTGTGACAGTGAAACTACACACATTTTCAATGGAAATCAAGATAAAAAAGCCTCAGGGTGTTCAGCAAGGAGATGAATATATCCTATACTGTTCACAGCATCCTTGGAAAGGGCATGACAAAGGCATAAACATAGATGGTACCAAACTCAACTACCTCAGGTTTGCGAATGACATCTTAGGGCGTATTCCCAGAGCTTTTAGATCGATCTATCCCCGCAGGGAGTCTCACTAGATTACTGTCGGATAATCCAGTTAAATGTCCGTCCCGCCTAATACAAGCTGTAAGGGGGTAATTAACTTTCGTGCCCACTCGGCTGACAGCTATTTAGCGTGAATCCCCAGGGAGTTAGGTCGATCTAAAGTAGAACGATCTTATCTCTGGGAATGGGGTCTTAGTGGTAGGAGATGATGCAAATGACCCGCAGGTAATACTACAGGCCCTAGCAGATAAAACCCCCTGATGTGGGTTAAAAATGAACACCAGTAAGACAAAAGTAATGTTTGGACCACTAACCATCCTTCGTTCAAACAAAGGTCAACAACAAGGAGATACATGTTGAAGTAGTAGAAAGGTATGGATTTCTTGGGCAAAGATTCTGCCTCATTTGCAGAACACGCGAGAAAGAAGTTCAGAGAAGAATAAATACAGGATGCATGGGCAGCATTTACGAAACACAAGAACATTCAAGATAATACACTGGCAGAAGCATGCTGAGGCCTTTGTCCAACAGTGGAACAATTTAAGCTCTGAATGATGATGATGATGATATCCCATAAGGCCAGTGGGCTGAACAGTTTTTGGCACAGACTAGTGTAAACTAATGGAGTTTTGATTTGCCAGTACATTGCTTTGAAAAGGAAGTTCACTATCAATATGAACCCCAGCTATGCTAATTTTAAAAAGTGACCTCATGTCACCAAGGAAACCTGACATGTTTTTGTAACTTTAAGCCGTGAGCAGATTTGTCACAGTGGTAATTATTCTTGCTGTTCTGAGTAGAAGTATTATGTAGAGTCTGCAACCATCAAAGTTGTTCATTATCTTTCCTCTTTTGCTTCAAGGTTTATAAAAACAAGGATTTTATTTTGTACTGTATAGGAGAAGGTATGTTATTATATATAGTTTTTTTTTTTTTTCGTAAATTTGTGTGTGTTTGTACCTTGAAAGGAATTGCAGACCGGCAAGTTTTTATGTGACAGATATTGGATTTTTTTTTTTTAATTCTTTCTCTGGAAAACTGATTTTCTTCTCTGGAAAACTAGTTTTTCTTGCATATTGGTTCTTACTGAATTGATCTAAAATACATTCTTTATTGGAAATGATTGCCGTCATGTTAAGCAGAAAGTGGGTATAGAACCTTGGACAATTTAGTAAGGCCAGGTATCTTGTGTTTAGAAGCTTATTTTCATTGCCATCTCTACACTAACTTAAAGAATTTCTTAAACACAATATAGGCTGAATTTCCATTTTTATGCCCATGTTATTCTTTTGTTGGTAATGTGTGAAGCAATAAATCTACACTCTTTGAATACTGAAATGTTTTCTCCAAGGTAAGTACCATCAGACTTGATGCGTAAGTCTGTAATTTTAGATCCATTTTGGAATTTTAAGTTTGGTCAGTCCTCTTGTATGGTTGTGAATGCTGGAATATCTAACAACACTGAGGAGAAACTGGGAGCTAATGAAATATGGCACCTACGAAAATATTTGAGAATATCCTGGACAGAAAGAAAGACCAATGAAGAAGTGTAACAGCTTGAAGGAATACAACGATCACTGATGAAAATAATCAGAAAAAGACAATACCGTCTGAAAAGACTGAATACAAAATCTTGTTCTCTGTGAGAAAATTGAAAGAAGAAGAAGTAGAGGAAGACATTGAATCTTATACATTGACAGCCTTAATGCCTTTGTAGCAAATCAATGGATGTCCAACAACGAGCTCATCCAATCAACTGAAAATAAAGATAAACGGAGGACAGATGCCTGCACACTTATAGAAGAAGATTTACATTATACTTAGCACTTACACGAATGTGGAACATGGTTTGAAGGCAACTGTATTATTATTATTATTATTATTATTATTATTATTATTATTATACACTGGTAACTTCACCAAAGATGCTGTATAACTGTCTCATTTTGTACTGCTATCTTTCTTGTCTTTATTATTTTTTTTTTTTTACTCTTTTTTTTAATCTCTCACAATTATTCTGCATTTGCTTACATTGTCTCTGCTCTTCCAGTCATGCCAGACTGCTCATCTTGTCTGTATGGAAGTAGATCACCTCACGCAGAATTGCAGTCCCACTGCCTCACAACAGGATAATATTATGGTTCATTTAGTGTAGATGCACCTGAGACTGACACTGGGACGATTACATTTATCACATCTAACTTGCTGAAATGTCAGATCTAGCTCTTGGCAATTCAGTCACATTCACCAGTTCTGTCTTATCTAGGCATATGATCTGTTTCTGGTGTATTGTATTGGGTAGTGAAACATGGCTTCAGCAGGGAAAGGCGTGGTGGGGTGATTCTTGCAGGTAGATAAAATTTGTCCATTTGATTAGTTTGAATTTTATTTATTTGTTATTATTTTATTATTTATTATTATTATTTTATTATTTATTTATTATTATTTTTTTAAAATGAAAATGAGCAGCATGTTTATACCTCATTCAGGGGCGGATCCAGAGAATTTTTCTGACAGTCTTCCATATGATCTTTGTTTATCCATCCTCCATTTTTGACCGTCTTCCGACAAAAAAATTAGACACCTGTCAATGTAAACTTGAAAATCTGACTGTCTTCCGGAAGACCCAAAAGACAGCCTAAATCCACCCCTTTCATTGATTTGTGTAAGAATTTAAATTTCATTGATGGGGGTTGACAGGCAATTTGCTGCTGATTACCTGCAAACATGGTACAGAAGGCAAAGACTGTGACTTGATTGTAGACAGAGAGAAAGGTTAGCTTAAAGGTGCATTTGAAGGCAATATTTTGCCACAAAACTGGACCAAATGCCACCATACGGTTTCAAGTAGCATAATTTAAAGAAATACCAAAGGGTATTCTTTAATATTTCCTGAAAAATGATATTTGAAAGGATATTTTCTGCTTTCTTTCTATGCTATATGTAATCCTCAGTCTTATTTGGCAACTCTTTTGAATGACTGATTATTGTGTGCATATATAGCAATAATACGCTATACGTTACTATGTCAGTTTGGCAGACTTTTATGAACCAAGGGAATCCATGCTTGCTTTGAATGTAACTTTAACCATCATGCAGTATAATGTCCATGAGTAAATGAGGAATGGGTGGAGATTTAGGGGCATTGCTGGTTAAAAAAAAAAAAAGATATTACTGGCAAATTCCGTGGCTTCATGTTTCATGTGTGGTCAATTCGAGCAATGATTTGTGAGTAGGTGAAAATTCAGTTTATTTTGAAAATCTCTGGTACAATTCCTTTGAGGTTATCAGTTGCAATTATCTATGATACCTTAAAGAAACACTGATGGCAGTTTTTGGCATTATATGAGACTTGAGAAAAATACCAGAATTTCTGTGAAGTAGGCTTAACTTTCAGCAACAAGGGTGATACACTGCCATGGCAATCTCATCTTAGAAAGCAATAGAAAGGCTACATATAAATTTAAAATGACACATAAAACATAGACTAGAAAATCAACATGATCCCAAGAAAATACATATAATTGATTTTTGTTTTGTCTTTATGCTTGTTAGTCCCTTGCAATTTCTGTTATCTGCTTTTATTTCTGACTCATTTTATGCTAATTGCAAGACTTCCAGCTGTCTCAGATTATACCCACTGTTCTTTCCCATCAAAAATATATTTACAGGAATGTACAAAGAAACAAATTACGTCAGTGAAGTTAAAGTCATGCTTAATAAGATCATCCAGTGAACATGGCATATTTGTTCCCTTGATTACGAGAATTTAACAACCAGCAATTCTATGGCATAGGTAATGAGATACACACAATAATATTTTTGCCATTGGCTGTGTTGTTTCCATAGCAACACAGTCTAACAGGATATTCTCATATACTTATACCACAGATATTTTATACATATGTAGTTGGAGTTTTTAGGTTTTAATGATAGAAGCATCCATTTGTAATGATATTGACAACTTTCAATTTACCAAAGTACTACAAATAACAATGTTGATTTAACTCTGGTAAAACTAAATCATTGAATTTTTCTTCGGAAGAACAGGAAATGAGTGAGTTTTGCTGCTGAAGTTGGATTATACACCAAAGGTAGAGTATGGAGTGATAAAAACATGTTTGTGGATCATAGCATTGAAGAATATTAGGTAAAGAATATTGATATATACGTATTCACTGTTTAAGGAACAGATACTGCAGTTTTAGATGAAGCATGTCTCAATTTGTGGTTTAATTACTATTGAAGACATTAATAGAAATAGCCTTAGGATATGAAGAAAATAAATTTTAAACAGACATTTTAAAATTTTTAGTTGTAAGTACACAGTCCACTTCTTATTGGAATAATGAAAAGACAAGTAATATCTTTTGATCATTTCAAACTGATAAATACCATGAAATAATATTAACAAAAACAACAAAATTTACCATTTACTGATGAACTTCCTCAGCTGTCAACATTGTTTTGAATTGAGTGCAAACCGGAAGTCCTTCCGTGAAAATCCCATGCATGAGAATTAAAGACCTTTTAATTTTCTCTGATTGTTACAGTTCATGGGGATTGCCAGGAAAGGCAGGGCAATGGGTGGTTATTTGGGGAAAATGTTTTTAATCCCAAGAAAAATTTATAATGTTTTTTCTTGGGAAAATCTTATTTCGGGCATATTTTACAAAAACTGAAAATATGAACATGTTTTTTGCCATGTTGCTCAAGTTCTGTTAGCTGGCTTTAGCAGTGTGGCATAACTATATAACTAATGACTTTGTAATCAGATGGATTGTAAGGTCTAAGTAACAAGCAGATGAAATTAAAAAATCAAAAGAAGGAATTATTAAGGTTTGTAAGGTGCAATTAGGTAGGTTTGAGAACAGAGTCAAGGTGAAGTGTAATGAAGATCTGTATAAACCATGTTGAGTCAGAGACAAGCCCTCTACCAGGAAGGCAATATATTGATGGATTTTTGTCAGTTGTGTAACTACTAGCATAGTTTATCTATTTTCATGATACTTGGGAAGTCTGTAAGGTTTTAACCAACAAGATGACAAGCATGTACGCATCAGCCCATTTAATTAAGCAAACAAATTAACCAAAAAACATCCATGTAGAAAAGCTGGAAAGAGTGGTTATGGAATGGCAAGTTATGTTCCACATTGTGAAGAAGTGTGTAGGTTACTCTCTAAGCAGTAGCTGTAATTCCTTATACTGTCCTTTTTTTTCTTGGATGATATTTTCTTTTGCCAGTTCCTCATTCTTTCTGCTTTACTTTATAGAACTTTGCATTTGATGCACTGCCGAGTGATGTGTTGGAGTTCAAGGTCAAGGACAAGTTTGCCAAGAGTCGCCCCACTCTGAGTCGCTTCCTGGGCAAGTTGACGGTGCCAGTCCAACGGCTGGTTGACAGGGCAGAGCAAGGGTAAGGGGATTTTTATTTTTTTATGCAAACTTGAATAACCATGATATGCAAATGATTTTAAAGATGGAGCTGAATGAGCAAGTCCCTAAAATTTCATGGAACTTTAAGTTAAAAAGGTCATTTAATAGTATGAAAACATGTAAATTGGTATAGAAATAAGACTATTTTAAAGATGGAGTAGAAAATGCAAATATCCTTAGAATGATGAAAATAAGAATTGTTGTGAAACAAGTAAAAAATCTTGTTTAACTTTAAGAAAAATGGTTGATGTTATTGAATGTGGATGTTAAATTTTTTTTTTCAAGGTTGTATGAAATAGTAACATTTTATGAATTTTTTCCCTCTTGTTTCAGTCCTGCGACCTTGACATTGAACTTGATGAGTAGGACGCCCTCTGACAGTGTTAGTGGTCTTCTGGAGTTCACAGTAACTGTATCATCCGAACCAGGTTAGTTTTTAAGATCTTTTTTCTCTTTTCTTCTTTTCACAGAATTTGACTAACTTTTACACATTGGAACATTTTTATGAGCAACAGAAGCCTTCTTCATTTATCAGTCAGATTTGACACCTTGATGATGCTCTTGTAGCAATATGTTGATATTACTGAGGAAATGCTTGCTTACAACAGCTACAGTATCTTTTTTGTGAGTCTAAAAAAATATTTAAGTAAATTAGTAATTTAGATTTTCTAAAAGCTCTCTTAGTCTGTAGTCCTACTTTCTCATATTACATCATTTTCAGTTACTCATGAAAATTTCCTTTCAATACCAGGTCAACTTAGGTTTTAAAACTTTGAAATAAACATTTTTAGTTTCACTATCATTACAATTTTGTTTAATAGGTAATAACTGTAGATTTGCATGCAGATATTGACTGGGCTAGACAGTGACCTTGACCTTATATGACCTTGATCTTGTTTGACCTTCAGGCACATACAGGCGCAGGAAGCATGGTGCCCACCAGCTCAACTGTTGCAGTTCTGTCAACAGCGGTGCCAGTGAGCGACCTCGTGTGCTTTCACAGGAGAGTATAGAAAGTAACAGCAGTGATCAGAGTAGTGCAGCAGGTAAAACAGCAGAGGTGTCAGGCCTGTGTGTGTGGGGGGTGGGGGGTGGGGTGGCTTCTTAATTTATAAAATATTGATCTTGACTCTATGTCATTTCTCAGGTTGGTCCATTTAAGGGTGTTAAAAGCTGAGACTTTAAAATGCTAACTTTGGGCCTGACACATTAATTTCAAATCAGATAATTAAATATCAATTATTTTACATTTTTTATGAAGTACGTACCATGGAGATTTGGTACCTCTGTTAGAAAACTTTTAAAAATTGAAATTAATGTTTCTTTTTTCTTTAAGAAAAAAAAAAGATTTTCTAAAAATGATATTTTGATTTTGTCTTCTGCTTCAGCTGGGATATCCTTAAGCGCGCTGTCACGTGGACGTATCCCAGACTCCTTTGAAATTCCACAAACCACCAGTCTTCACACAGTTCCAAATATCGAGTGTGCGTCCAGTCACAGTTCCTCAACAGAGGGCAGTCCTGCTGCCACAAGACAAGCCACTGGGGCTCCAATGTCCACAAAAAGACTTGTGCATTTAGAGGCAGCAGCCGTTGACAGAGTGCGCTGTGAGAACGAATACACTGTGGTGCCAGGAGTCAGTGATAATACCATTGAGACCCCGGCCACAGGGAACAATACAGCATTAACTGGAACTGCCAGTAACAATACAACTGAGCTCAGAACCTCTAGCACCGGTGGTGATTCAGCAGTGTGTGAGACCAGTGGTGCAACCGGTGATGGGGCAACAGCTCTGCCCCCTGGTGGTGATGGTGACATTGCAGATGGATCATTACGAGATCCTGAAGCTTCCAGCAGTCCAGTGATGTTTAACTTGGAAGGAAACCCTCCCAAGCATCGTGGCGTTCGTGTGAGCAGTACCAGTAGTGTTGGAGAGGAGGGAGGGGGCGAGCAGGTCCCCGATTTATACGAGATACGCTTTAGACAGCAGCTACAGTCGGTAGATGCCACGCCAGAGAGTGACGATGATGACATCATGGTTGAAGAAGCACAACATGAGGGGCTAGGGTCGATTAATGAGCAAAATGAGCTTGAGGAGTCTGAGGACACTCTTGCCACTGATCAAGATGACCAGTTAGGCCAGGATGAGGGTAGCCATCAGAGGGACAGAAATCCTAGACAGAGCAGCAGTAGCAGTTTGTCCAGTTCCAGCAGTTACAGCAGCAGTAACAGTGATACATCAGTCAGCAGGGTGGCACCTGCTGCAACTGTAACCGTGGACAACAGCAACTCAACTCCAGGTGTCAGCACCTTATCAGCTCAGCTAGCCAGGATACCCTCAATTCAATCTCAGGCTTTTCCAGCAGATGGCACTATCACTGTGTCCAATCTTAAAACTAGACAAAGGCAAGTGGCCTCTGAAAGAAATGAATTAAGTAACTCAGCTGTAGATGGCAGCAGTAGTAGTAGCAGTTCCCAGCAAAATGTGACTGGTGCGAGTGGAAGTCAAAGTCCCTCAGGGTCTGAAATAAGTTCAAGGTCAAACAAAGCAAGGGCAAGGTCAGCATCTGACAATTCACCCAGTACAGTTAAGCCAAGGACACGGAAGACAGCATCAGTTACATCACCGAGGTCTTTGTCTGAGAGAGATTCTGCTGAGGGGGAGGACACTCCTGATGGCCGCAGTGGGAGATATAACCTGGTGGCGGCTCAGGAGAGGGAGAGGAATCGTATGCACATCCAGCAACAGCTCAGAAACTGGCAGCAAACTATACAAGAGGGTGAGGCCGCCAGCAACTCTACACCTTCTAGGTAAGTTAAAGTTTTAGTTTTTTGTAAAGTGATCTATTTAAGCATGTCATTTGGTTATTTGTGTGTGTGTGTGTGTGTGTGTGT